AAGTATTTAGGAGGGTTGGGGGTTAATGGGGGGATGAGGATTCATTTGTAATACCTTAACCAATAAAAAAATTAAAGATAAAAAAAGTATTTGGTAGTATTCTTTTTTAAAAAAAATTATTGATTTCAGAAAGGAAGGGAGAGGGAGAGGAGATGGAGAGATAGAAACATCAATGATGAGAATCATTGATTGGCTGCCTCCTGCACGCCCTCTACTGGGGATTGAGCCTGCAACCTGAGCATGTCCTGACTGGCAATTGACCCTTGACCCCCTGGTTCATAGGTCGACACTCAACCACTGAGCAACACCGGCCAGGCTTCAGTATTACTCTTAGTAAGAGAACTACTCCTGACTCTTGCTAGCTCCTACTCTACATGAATAATGTGCTACAGTCAATGTGATGTGTCTTTAAATACAAGAAGTTTGGATTTTAAGAGTCAAGGGGAACTGGGAAAAAATGCAAATTGGTGTTTGCCAAAGGCAGGCGGTCTTTTCTTACTTTTTGTCATAGTGCTTCTGATAAATTAGGAAAGGGCTACTTCCACGTCATTTTCTCTCTGCACTTCCTGCTTGGCTATCTAGCCTCGAATTAGGCAGTCAGCTCCATTAGCGGCCAGCACACACGCAAAGCTGAGCTGGACTTGCAGTGACCATACCTGCGTACAATACCTACAGATTGTCTGGCATTTGCTAATTTCTTACTGTGTTTGAGATGTGCTTAAGATTGGGGGGAGGGTTCAGGGCGCAGACGGAAGGAAGGAAGGAAGGAAGGAAGGAAGGAAGGGAAAGGAAAGGAAAGGAAAGGAAAGGAAAGGAAAGGAAAGGAAAGGAAAGGAAAGGAAAGGAAAGGAAAGGAAAGGAAAGGAAAGGAAAGGAAAGGAAAGGAAAGGAAAGGAAAGGAAAGGAAAGGAAAGAGGAAGGGAGGGAGGGAGGAAGAAAGAGGGAGAGAGGGATGGAGGGAGTAAGGAAGGAAGGAAGGAATGGGAAATGGATGCCCTCTCTCCATGCAGGGAGTTTTGTTGTTGAGAGCCTATGATGGCATAAATCCGTTAATATGTCTTACTTTAGACAACCGCCCATAATTTCTTCTTTCTAAAATGTAATATTGTCAGAGATCAGAATACTATGTCAATCAGGAATCGGAATAATTTTCACAGAGCTGGTTTATGATGACAAATGGAAGAAGTTTCCATTCAGTGCTAATCTGAGTTAGGGTTTCTTCTTAGACGTTCATATCATGTTAAATTAAGGAGGACAGACCTCGAAGCCCAGGGCCTCCTGGGAGCAGGAGCCTCGCAGTGAGGAAGAGGAGGAGCTGGTCCAAACCCAGGAAATATCCCCATGCAGCCCCCACGCCCTCCAGCGCAGAGCCGGAGCAGCACTCTCAGGAGCCCACGTTCAACATGAGGAGGGACATGGGGGGGTCCGCAGCAAGGTGCCCAGGAGCACCTGTGAGACGCCATTAAACAGATGGGCGAGACACGCCCTCCAGCAGGCTAGTCCCGGAAGAATTCACAGGACAGAAAAGACAGAATATGGTTCCTGAAAGGCAGGTGGGATATTTGACAGACATGTTGGTGGGGGAGAGAGCGTTTTTGCTGGATAGGCATGTAAACAATAAAAATAATAGTACTTGAAATAGCATCTTCTGCCTCTACCACCTATTGGCCTGCTGATGCGAGTGAGATGCTCAGGATTCTAAATGCTGTATCTCAGTGAGTCCTTATAGCAAGGCGCTCAGGCAGAGGGTGGGAGCTGGGCATGAGCCTGCTCTGAGCTGCTGGGGTGACTCCCAGGGGCGCAGCGGCGAGCTGGTCTGGAGGCCCCAGGCTGGCTGAGCGGCGCAGCTGTGCTGTTCAAGTGCAGGGTCTGCCCAAAAGGCAAAGGGCGGCACACCTGGGCTGTCTTCGGAAAGACCCCGTGTGTCAGCCTGAAGAGTGGGGTTGGTGCGTGTGAGTGTTTCTGGCCTTTTTCCTATGGAAGTTGGGACAGTTGGGATTTCCAGCAGGAAAGACATGACTTGTAAGTAAGTCTCTACAGGTCCCAATCCAGAGCTGGGCAGTTGGAGCACAGAGCCCAGGGAAGGGTGCAGAGAGGACACACTGGGAGAGAAAAGCCGCCCGCGGGGAAAAGGAAGCAGGCACAGGGCGCTTGGGACCCAAGGCTCGCCTGAATTCTGAACTAACTTTTGTTGTTTTGGAAAAATATCAGAAATCAAAGTTGCAAAGATTTTTTAAATTCTAAGTTTAGAAAACTGCCGTTGTACAATATTGATGGGGTAGGTAAAAACCGGGAATGAATGTCACCCACCAAGCGGTAGAGAAATTGTTAACAGGAACCAAAAAGGTAGGAAAAAGGCAGAAAAGAGTGAGAGAGAGAAGCACATGGCCACAGAGGAATGCAGGCATAAGAAGGCAACCATCGGTCTATGGGAGCGCCTGCGCTCTGCATCCAAGAAAGAGGTGGGGCCCCCGCACAGGCCCGCACCCACCGCCTGCCCTGGTGGGGGCAGGAAAGAGGCAGAGCTGGCTGGCTCCACCCCTGTTTTCTCTGAGCTCCAATGTCCTGGCCAATTAGTCAGATTTCACAGCGACCCCGCTGTGGTCAGAGGGTCCCCCAGAGCTGGGCATGAGTCCAGGCGAAGCAAACCTTTCCCCTCACACTTACAAGTTCCTACTGCTGAGTCCAGGTGCCTTGTTGGTATGTAATGTAGTTTGTATAAAACTGATCATTGGTGGTTATTTTGTTTATGTTTCTTAAGGAGATAAATTAAAATTAGTCAATTGCATGCCTGGGCGGCGGAGTGGCTCCACTTACCGAGAAATCTGTTACTTCCCAGCCACAGCCACAGCCCCAGCTCCCGGCACCGAAGCTAGTGTTATAAACTATTTTCTATTACATTCGATAGGTTTAAGTAAAACTACATGGGGTGCTTTCATCAAAAGGAGTGGAACTCATTCTTCAAAGCAGAATCCATTCGAAGTTGAGACAGACGATGTTTTTCAAATTGAGCTGCAATTCAACAACGGCAACTTTATGCCTTTGAAATGATGGACATAAGGAGCAATTCTCTACTTTAAACTCTTCTGCTTTCATTTGGGTTCTTCAGACTAGGAACACTCCAAGGGTCCCTGATTCTTGCAGCTTTTGTTTTACCAATGACTGCATTATAAGTAAAAATCTGTTTTTTATGAAAAATTTATGATTTTATAATGGAAAAGTTTTCTCATTTTCATATTGGAGAAAGTCTTTCTTCCTTTGAGCGATTAGTGTACATTAATGCATAATTTATCATGTATATTATATGACATATCTGAGTTGACAGACAGCCCTATTCCAAGCAAACATAGGTTGCATTTAGTTTTTATTATTTACAATAAATTTTCTGAAGACTGAAGAAGCAGTCTAAACACTCAGGTTTTTTTTCTGAAATTTCTGGGGAATGGCCAAGTTCAAATCATAATAAATTTGAACGGAAAGTGACAGAGAAGGATAGTCCCTGATATCAAGATCTGTGCCCCAGGCCTTTTTTAAAGATTTTATTGATTGATTTTAGAGAGAGGAATGGAGAAAGAGAAAAACATCAATTTGTTGTTTCATGTTGTTCCACTTAGTTATGCATTCATTGGTCGATTGATTCTTCTGGATATTGAACCCACAACCTTGGCGTATAAAGACAACGGTCTAACCAACTGAGCTACATGGCCAGGACTGTGCCCCGGACCCTGAGCATAGCTCTCCGTTAAATCCTTAACGGCCCTGCTTCTCTCTTACTTTTCACAGTTCATGGTACGACTGCCCAAACACTTTGTCCTAAGTTATACCATGCATACCTTTCAGGGCACGTGACTGACCGCAGTCTGCTACTGAATCGAGCAGTATGCTATCCATATCCCCATACTGACTCAACGGTGCAATCAATGATTGTTATGTAATCAACACTCGTGGGAGCATGCAATTTTTAAAAAAACGGAGTTCATGCTAACATGCAACCCTCCACCATCACCACCACCACCACCACCACCACCACCGTGAAGCTCACAGGCAGGTGTGGCTCCCACAGCGCCAGCTTCAACATCTTCAGGCTCAGGTTTCTGTGGGTCCCTGACAGCATTTCCAAACGTTCTCATCAAAATGGGAAGATAAGGGTGGCGCAGTGGATTTTTCATGATCATAAACATGTTTCGTTTAAAGGAGTGTTTGGTCAATATGAGGTTGTCCTTTTCTTAAGCCCTTTTCTTTCTAACTATAGTTGATCGTAGGATGCTTGTTATAATTGTTGTTTTTTAACATCCTTACTTGACAAAATGGAAAGTTGTCAATCTTCTATTAGTCTTACCTTTTATCTTTAAAGCCATAGTAAACAGCAAAAACCCAGCATGAGAGCCATCCGAGTGAAACTGGCAGTGGGAACATCAGTGCATTTCCTTCCTCTGGCGCCAGGGCTCAGAGGGGCCCGCACAGCTCACTGCCTCGGTTTCCTTTTTAAAAAGTCAAGTACAAGCGTTCTGTAAGTTGGGACACTTCTCTAGCATCTAAGACATTTTAGGGGGAAAGTGTGATATTCTGGTTCCAACCAATCACCAAAGAACTGGATTAAAAATATCGCTGATGGCTAAAATGTATGTCACGACATAGTCCTAAAAGTATCATTATTAACACACCTGTCAGGATTGAATCCTCCCTCAATCTGAGTCCACCTAAGAGTTACTCAACTATATGCCAAACTGAATTTAGTGTCAGCTATTTTACAGACTATTTCTAGATCCCACCACCTCTGCACCACATCGGTGAGAAGACATGTCAGCGGCTCCCATCCTGGAGAATCACTGTGTGATCAAGTCCTCGGTGTGGGGGGAGCTGGAGGCAGTCAGAGCTGATGGGACTCCAAAGCGTCCTGGGATTTGACAGCGTCTGGGGGAAACACAGCGTGTCCGTGAGGTGTGTGCGGAGTCCTGGCCTTTGACTTCCAGTCCTTTCTGTCCCTTTTCCCCTTCCAGTGAAATCGGATGAGTTACAGACAATCAAGAAAGAATTAACGCAGATCAAAACTAAAATCGACTCCTTGCTAGGGCGCCTGGAGAAGATTGAGAAGCAACAGAAGGCAGAGGCCGGTAAGTGAACAGACTTGTGGGAATGAAATCAGAGACACTGTCAATCACCTAGACAGGCAGGGCCAGGGGCCTGGGCGGGGCGGGGCCAAGGGCGGGGCCAGGGCCAGGGGCAGGCTTCATAGAGTTTAAGGCAGATTCACTGTGAAGCCTGTAAGCTAGAGTTACAACAGGGAGATCTGGTCTTTTACTTTTCAGAGAACATGAGCCAATTTGTCTAAAATTCATATATTCACAAAAGGGAAAAATGAAAAGTATGTTGATGCTAATAAGTAGTGGTGTGATTGTCCTTGGAAGTTTATAGCTCAATATCAAGTAACCTTTAAGAAAATAAAGTCAATTCATGGGCTAATGCTATCAGGCTAAAAGTACAATTCATACGTCATTAAATTAACTGCAGCAACATTGACTGGATTTCAAGGTCATGATCACAAAGCCCAACTCCTGCCTCGCTGTGACTCTGAGATTTCAGGACCCAGTTCAGAACTCACCACCACAGTGTCTCTGGCCACCAGCCAAGTCATTGATTACAGTTTCACTGTCATGTCTCTGGGCTCTGAATCGTCAGCCCTGGCCTTGGTTCCCAGTCCCTTTTCATGCAATATTAGTGCCCTTTTTCTGTGGCCACGCTAGCGTTTAGAATCACAGAATGTGAGAACTGGGGTGAGCCTGGAGGTGACTGGTGCCCAGGCTGACACTGTGTTGTGCAGCCTCAGATCCTCCGAGGCCCCTTGAGACAAGATAAGGTGGTAAAAGTGGGTAACTAGTCCTCCTCCAGCCCAGCCTCTGCTCCCAGGCAGAAGGCATCGCCTCCATCTGTTTTATCCATTGGGACTCAATCTATGACTTCGTTTGCAAAAAGTTTCATTTGAAAAAATAATAATACAGTTTTGAAAGCCATTGCTCCCATCCAGCCCCTCACTTCCACGAGGAGAAAGCAGAGGGTCGAGGCAGACAGACTTTTCCATGGCCACATAACCAGTTAGTGGCAGCCCAGGTCTCAAGCCCGGGTTTGTGGGTGAGTCCACTGTCCTTTTGTTATCGAGAAACCCCTGGGTGGGCTCGGGCTGCCTGTCGTTGTGTCCAGTAACGAAGGCCGGGTTGAATCACGTAAGGCGTTTACTGAGAAGGCCAGCCAACCAAGAAGACAGGGCCCTTACAAGCATCAAATCCTGCCTCCCAGCAGGTGCAGGGGACAGGGTTATAAAGGGAAGGGGCTGGGGTGAGGCGTGCAGTCCTGGGGGTCCACAGACGTCTGCTATTGTCCTTGTCATCAGGTGATGAGATGCTGTTGACAAGATGATGTTTTGACTCCTGGTGGGTCCACCTGACCATGCTTATCGGGTCTGAGTCACCTCCTCCATTGCTTCGCATAGGCCTTGAAAAGTAAACTTAAGAAAAACTTAACCCTATTCACAGGAGTACATGTGTTCTAAGATTTAAAATAACATGACTATTTTTCAGATGAATTCAGGTGCTCTATCTATCAGATTATAAGCCCCCCTATCACTTTCCCATCTGTAGTGTCAATCTCAGGTGCCACCAGGGCCTCATCCCAGGGTGTCACTGCCCTGCGGCTGCCTGGAAAGCTCCTCCCTGGGGAGAACCTGCAGGGATGTGGGCCCTGGTCTCCGACACAGCATCTGGCCTGACGTTGACTGTGTCGCTGGGTAAGGACCAAGCAGCCCTGGCTCACAAGGCAAGTGGGGCCTCCGGGTGACAGGAATGAGCTCGGGTGCAATCCACCCAGCCCCTGCCTCTGCCTGAGCCTGTTTCTCACTCACAGTGAGGACAGCAGCGGTGCCTCCCACTGTGAGGAATGACCAGTCCCTGCGACGGGTAAAGGCTCTGATCAGAGCGACCTGGGGCTGGTGGGAGCAGACATTCCGGCCAAGGAGTGTTCCCACCAGGTTCCTGCAGCCCTACTTCTCACCACGTGCAGCGGCTCCTGACCATGTCTTAGTTCATATGGATGACAAATGAGAGAGGAAGTAGACTCATGTTTATTAAAAATTTCTATTTCAAATGTATTTTCTGCTGAGCAGAGATTCGCTGCCTGACCCGCTCACTGGAGAAATGTAGGCTGGAGGGAGTTTGTCACATGCCGTCTGGGGCAGAAATCGAAAGCATTTCCAGACAAAAATATCCTAGGACATCCCTGAATCAGTGTTTTCCTTCAAGGAACGTCTGTGAAATTCGTTATTATGTAAAACAACCCCTGCAGCGAAGGACTTTGACAACCAATTTCCACTTCAGCTGAAAGGGTTGTGGAGAACTCATTTAAATCCAGACCACCTCCACGAGGAAACTGTGCTGCTTCAGCCCATCCTGCCAGGCTGGCGGTGCCCGTGCAGGTGTCTGCGAACGGACACCAGGCCCAACGCGTGCGCCTCCTTTCATTAGCGGCCGACGCGTGTCCAAGCTTCCCGTCAGAGACGTTGCTTCTTAAGCGACGGGCTTGGTCCTTTGATGGGCATGCCTCCTTCCTTTCCCATGTTGGGAAGAAAGTGGAATTATTTAATTGCTAATTTTTTTCTTTTGCCATTTGTCTCCTGAACCGCATTCATTTTTATAGAGATAAGATGATTATTTTCTATATATTTTTTATGAAAAGAAAAACCAGGCTTTATGAAAAGAGTCAACCCTACATTATAGAAAGTAGAGAGAAATACAGTAAAATTCTTTAAAAGACTCAATATCTCCTTATTAATATTCAGGGGCACTCGTTTTAATACTTATTTGGTTGCAAACTAATTATTTGGTAGCTAACATTGACTTTTATTGTTGCTGTTTTATTCATCTCTCATTCCCAATTTACATCGTTAGATGATGACAGTTCTCAGGGCAAAGGCAGAGGCAGGAAGGAGATGGTGTGGGGGGGAACGTGCCTCCTCCTCTCCTCCCCCACATCCCCACTCCCCGCGTGGCTGGGTTCAGGCTGCACAGGCCTTCTTCTGTGTTGTTGGGAGTGAAACCCTAAGCGTCAGGAGTCCATGTGCTGAAGTATAATTACAACATTTTGGATTCTCTGCACCTTAAACAGCTTCCAGCAGAGACTCGCGTGGTACACGTGCTCTTTCTTTGAGCTTGGAAACCTCCAAGAACAAGGCCGGTCTTCTCTTTCTCTCTGCTCTCCCCCACCATTCCACCTCGTCCCAGCAGGAGCAGGTCTGACTGCTCTCAGGGTCTCCAGCCCTTCCCGTGTCAGCTAGACGGAGGGATCGTGGCCTCAAAAGTAGTCCCAACTTTTAAATTATAATTGCTATGAATCCACCACGCTTGTGTTATTTTTTCCATTGAATAATTCAGGTAACAATTTTGGGATATACTGACTATTTATTGAAAACAATAAATAACCCTTAACATCAGTTTAGCCTAAAAATGTGCTTTATTCCACACATAAATTGCCACATATGAATAGCACAAGTGTTATGTAGTTTACATGGTGATGTTGAACGACCCAAAAGGGTGTACAGAGAGAACGGGAAAAACAATGGGCACAATTACTCCATGGGTGGCCACACATTTTTTAAAAAAAAATCACATGCCAGGCATCCAGTCTTTGCTATGAAAGGGCAATTAGACATTATCTAGTTCCACTTTATCCTTGGGGGAATGGCTAATACATGGCCAGCCAGCCTCTCTCAGCCACTCCCGGCGGGCATAGGTCATGTTTATGATAATGCTAGACCGAAGAATGAGAGCGGTCACAGGCCAGAGTCCCATTGGATACATCCATCTTCCCATGTGCTTGGTAAAGGATCGAGTTTTTTTTTTATGAACATCAATGTCTAAAAATGGAAGATTATAAATAAATGTCAAAATACATGACTTCTTTGGAAATATGAGACTTCAGTCCTGCTGCAGCTGCGCAAGGGTGCGCTGCTCAGCCAGCTAGTGTATGGGTGCCCCTGGGCACGCACTGATGTTAGTCACGTGGTCCCTGTTCATACCGGGGTCTCAGGCGCCTATGGAAGGGTCCGCTCTTCTGAACCAGATGTCTGCTGCTTTCACTCGTTTCAGTTCCCCTTTTATGTCCCCTGAAACCAAGCTTAATGCCCAATCCCTTGTGAAGGTAACAGCCAATGAAATATTTAAAAGGAGCTAAAATACCCTCGCCTTCCTAAACCTTTGAACAGAATCCTATCTAATAATAGACAAACATGGTAATTGACCGTACCTTCGCTATGCCTCCCATTGGCTAATCAGCGAGATATGCAAATTAACTGCCAACAAAGATGGCGGCTAATTTGCATACTGCAGGCAGGGCGGGACAGCGCCATCCCGCCTGCCCCGCTGCCATCCGGGCCTGCTATTTGTCACCCAGGGCGGTGGGACAGGACAGTGCCATCCTGCCTGCCCTGCTGCCATCCAGGCCTGCTATCTGCGACCCGGGGCAGCAGGCATCCCGTGTGCGACGATCGGCTGGCCCGCCTGGCTGCCATCCGGGCATCCCATGTGCCACCCGACCCCGGGCGGGGCAGCAAAGGCTTGAAGGCGGCTCCAGCCAGAGCGAAGGCCTGGGTCCCGGGTGCCGGAGGAAAACCGGTGCCGGCAGCCAGGGGAAGGGAAAGCCTATTGCACCAATCTTTTCATGCAACAGGCCTCTAGTGTCAATATAATTGGCCCATAGACTTAGCTGCGTTCAGATTTTGGTCACAGCATCTTTGCAGCCTTCTTTACTCCAGATAAGTCTAAGGAATTCCTTCAGCTGCTTTGCAGTAATTGGACTCTGCATCTTGAACCATCGCCATCTCTCTTCTCTGGCCACAGACTGTGGCTCTCAGAGGGAGGGCACTGCTTCAGTGTGACCGGGTTGCCACCTATAGTGTGACCTCGTTTCTGTTCTGATACCTTCCTGTCATTGACAGTTTGGATCAAATTGCTGATGCTTCTTGTTACACATGAGCAAACACAAGAACTGAGCCCTGCTCCCTCCTGAAACTGCATCAAATGTGTGATGGGATTTTTAAACTGAAAACCCCTCGTCTTAAGGAGAATGG